AGGGAGAGCTGAAGTCAAAATATTGTGCAAGATGACTTCTCAGTCTTTTCTCCACAACAATCCAAAAATGAGATAAATCTTACCTTCTTCTTCATGGCTGTGTTCGGCATCCCACACCTGCAGAGAGGGAGAAAAAGTGTTTTTGTGGCAGCCTGCCAGTTGTACACTTGGAGTGCCTCTGTCACAAGGCTTGTGCCTCTACAAAAGCTGTGGGGGACGCTGTCAGCAAAGGAGCGCTTCCTCTGGCTGTCAGTGGGTAACAGCCTAGTTGAGAAAAGGCCTCCAAAGCCTTGGTTTTTATCCCAGGCAATAAATATCACCACAAGCAGAAGAGACAAGCTCCCAGAAATCACCTACTGACAGATCCCAAAGCACATCCTCATTAAAGAGGATCCAGAAAGAAGACTTGGAGGCACAACAACAACAACAAGAAACCCTACCCTATGGTGGAATCCTGGGATCTTACTTGGACACACATGTGGTGGAAATGTCATGATTTAAGAAATTTTTGGGAAAGATATATATGATGATAAGTAGAATATTTCAAATTAGCTTTAGAATGAAACCTGAATTGTATCTGCTTAACATGACAAACAATATGCCAGAAAAGATTGAGAAGAAACACTGGAGTTTAGTATTGTACATGATAACCTCTACTAGGAGACTGTGGGCAAAATATTGGAAATCCGAAAAAGTACCACCGATTGACAGATGGTTACTGAATTGGACAAATCAACAACTAGACTAAGGGGGGTTGCAGACTGTCAAAAATAGTGTGAATTCAGTCCACTTTTAGGGTTAGGGTTAGTGCTAGGGAATCATGGGAATTGTTATTTTTCTGAGACATTGAACCTTCTTTGTCAGAGAACTCTAGTGCCACAATAAAATTCAGTTCCCATGATTCCCTAACCTTAACCCTAACCCTAAAAGTGGACTGAATTCACACTATTTTTGACAGTCTGCAACCTCCCTAAATAATAAAGACTTGAATATTGTTGAAAAAGAATGGAACCCTATTGTAGAATTATGTAAGAGAAAATGGGAAACTTAGATAAACAAGAATATGGGGGAAGAATGAATATGAAGAGCAGAGCTTAATAGGTTTAAAGCTGTTGAGATTGTGAAATGACATATAAATCAGAAGCTGGGAATATTGAGCTAAACAAATGTCCTTCTATGTAACTAGATGAAATAGCAACTTAGGAAGTAGTTTAAAGTTGTTACCTTCTGTTTATATTCATGGTTGTTAATTTTCTGATTATGTATAACAAAGTGAACATTATCTTGAAATATGCTAAGCTGCCAATTTGAATCTGTGTAGGGTATGTTTTAACAACAACAACAATAATAAATTGCAAAGGAAAAATAAAAGGAACCCTGGGATCTGTAGTTTTCACAAGGTCTCGGTTCTTCTCTGCCCAAAGAAGAGCCGGTGCCTGAGCAAACTACAAAGCCCAGGATTGTGTAATATAATGTATGTTAAACTTTTTTACCTTCTTAAAAGTATTTGATATTTTAGCATGTAATCTGTTTTAGATACTGTAGTAGTTTAGTTCTGTTTTAATGTACTGTTTTTGTATGTTTTTAACTGTATTTTTTTAAAAATGTTGTCAGCCGCCCTGAGTCCCAGTCCTAGGAGAAGGGCGGGATATAATTAAACAATAATAATAATAATAATAATAATAATAATTGTGTGGGAATAGTTGGAGCCCTGGCAATTGAAAGGGTGTCAAAGTGGGTTATTCGTCTCCTTCAGTGTAGACGAATCCTACCTCTCCTTCCCAGCAAGAGGCTCCTCCTGGGGTCAGTTCAATGGACCTCTGGGGGTCCCACCCAAAAAGTCAGGGTCCTCTCCCTCCCTTTCGCCTCACCTCTGGCTCTGGACCGGCCCGGCAGCGATAGCAGTGGCGGCGGAGAGAGGAAGGAGGCAGCAGCAAGAGCCGCGGCGCCGGAGGCCGAACCTGGCTCCCTCCACTCTAGGCCTCAAAGCCTCGGCCTCGCGTAGTCCGCTCGCCCGGCGAGGATGCGCCTCTTCCGGCCCGGAGCGGGATTGCGGCCCGGCCCTCCGCAGCACCTCCGATGACAGTCACGTGAGTGCGGCGCCTCGCCTTCTTCTCTCCTCCGCCTGGGAGTCGGTCACATGACTGGAGGCAGCCTGGTTGACCAGAGAGAGAGAAAGAGGACGCCTAGAGCGGCCTGACGCACCACGCTGTGAAGCCGAGGCAGCCATGTTGCTTAAGGGCAAACTTGCCACTCATGCTCCAGCAAATGCAGCAGAGGCATTCCAACTGCTAGGAGAGCCTTACCTCCGAGTAAACCCAATGCAACCACGTCTCCCTGTGCCTGTTTCCTCAGGAGTCAGCCTCCTGGCTGGGCTGCATGCAAAGCTGGGAAAATAAATAGCTAAAGAGCTGTTTGGTTGCTTTTTTTTTTTTTGGATTGCAACACCCAGAATCCCCCAGTTGGAGTGGTACCACCAGAATAGCCATGGTTCAATGGGGCTGGGGATTCTGACAGCTGCAGTCCAAAAAGAGTAAGCTGTGGTGCTTCAGTTTACCTCCCTGAGCTCCCAGGAGGGTTCCCCCCCCCTTTTTTGAGGATTTTTGGGAAGATTTCTGGTATATTAAGCAGTACTGGGGGTCAGCCTTTGGTGGAGAAGTTACTTTCCTTAATTAGTTACTCCCGTGGTCTTCCTTTTTTGGGCATCCTTAAATGAGGGAAGGCAGCCCTGCAGTCCTTCGTGCCCAAGAGATATGAGCGAGGAAAACACGGCTTCTCCTATGGCCTCCCATATGGTCTAGCGGTTAGGATTCCTGGTTTTCACCCAGGCGGCCCGGGTTCGACTCCCGGTATGGGAAGCGGCGCCTCTTTTTATTTCCTGTTTGCCCCCATCGCCTTAAAAAGTAAACCCAATTTGACCCCCGGAAATACGGCAAAGCCTTTATTATGTTGCGTCGCAAAAACAGTAGGCTGCTTCCAGCGCTCCAAGGCGAAAATGCTGCAATTCCCAAAGACGGAAAGGAACCGACTCAGCTGCAGAGGAAGCCTC